CGATCGTTACTCGTTAAATTGCGGCTGTTATCAGCCGTTATGATTGTGATTCCATTTCACATCGTGATTTCGGTTGATATCAGTAACGGAAGTCACCGATACCGCAATATAACGGCCGTTATACCGTTACACGGCCGTTTTTTGAATCCCTGGATAGAGCTACTCCTGTCGTCCGGCACATTCATTACACATATTTAAAAATAGATTTCCCTTATCTTTAGCATTGGAACTAAGTGTTTGTTATCACCATGTGAACTGACAATTGCATAATAACACCTTGTAACAACATACACATGATGACAATAGCTCTGGACGGAAAGCTTATTAACAATATACAAGGGTGGCCTTTTCTCTAATGTAAGACAAATGGAGAAAGGTTTGACTGAATTAATGCATACATTGACATATGAAATGAGCACGGATTTATTGGAAGTTATTTTATTTTGGGTAAACTATACAAAAGATCACTATTGTTTGAGTAAATTTTCATTTTTTCCAATGAAGTAATAACAAATTCGGTTACTAACATTATTAATTTGTAACAAAATTGTCACTAATTTTATTAGTTTGTAAGAAAATAGTCACTCTATCGTTAATTCCGTTAAATTAATTATGTGACAACATTAACAAAAATGTTAATATTTATTGTGATCCCTAAACTATTGTTAAAATATTATATGGTCCCTATTATTCCCCGGTTTTGTTTTCCAAACTTCTCTCTCTATAACAGCATATCTCCCCCTCTTTACCGCTGATTAATCCTCTTTTCATTGCCTTAAACGGCGAATTGCATAATGAACAAGTTTTACGTTTTACTTATAGCTTCATGGAAACGTAAATGGTTAAAAGGGGTTTGCATTATTGTTTATTTAGTGTCCAACTTGATACATACATTCGTTTGAAGTGATATTATTACCTTGTTTGAAGTCATTCTATCACTACCAAACTAATCAAAGACTATATATGAACATCGATCACATGCAGAAAAGAAAAAGGTGTTATAGATCTATTAAATCAGCAGTAAAATACATCCACCAATTTCCACAATTCCACTTCTAAGTTTTTATCGAAATGGCAGCTCCATCGTCAGGCTGTTGTATTTCAACATTTATGCATGAATTGTTAACCGCTTTCTTTATCACCATTGTTACCAATTGCTTTCATTTCCGCTTTTGATACCATGGTAGTGTTGTGAATCTGGATGGACTCTCTGTTTAGATCAATCCTCTTATTCTAAAAACAAGGTATTAGAAGTGTCGGAACCGTCTTTCGGGTGGGCCTCGAAATTGGGCTTCGACTTAGATTAAATGGTTAGAGTCGTCACCGACCACTTTAAAACAAATTTAGGTGGGTCGGACACCATCTTACCTGATCTGCGTTGTACATGTCGGGGGGAGGAATGATTAGCACCCTTGAACCGCCCTTTCGCTACCAATTAATTTTCCGGTTGTCTTTATTTGCGAAAAATTAAATTTAAATTGAAATTCAAAGATTCAGTCCGAATTAATTATCTATTAATCGATTGAGATTATTACTGAAAAAGACAAAAAGTATATTAGATAGAAAAATAAATAAATAAAAATGAAAAGACAAATAAAAATAAAAAATAATAGTAGTGATATAAAAAAATCAAAGGAAAAAAGAAATAAAGATTAAAATAAAATAAAAATAATAGTAAACAAAAACAAATCAAAGAAATAAAATGAAAAAAATTAGATAAATAAAAAAATATTTTAAAAGTAATAAAATGGAAAAAATATGAAATAAAAATAAATAATACTAATGATAATTAAAAAACATGATAATAAATAATAAAAAATAAAATAAGAATTTAGGGATCAAATTGCAAAAAATGTAAAATATAAACGGGGACCAAATTGAAAATTCAGTGGACAAATTGCATATGGTGACTGAAACGAATTACACTTCAGAATATGGGGGACGGCGGAAAGAATTTAAGAATCCCTTATTTGCACAATGGTCCCTGCTATATATATATACCAATAGCCCAAAATCCCCCTAATTTCTCTCATTTTTGGCCAAAGTTCTCTTCTCCCTCACCAAAACTCTCTCAATGCCGAGCGATCCCGCTCCGGTGGCCCCTTGCGCTTGAGCCATTTGCCGCTCGCGACGGCCGAGCAAAACTGAACCAACCCAAAATGACCCCGTCGGTCTCGCAAACCCAAGAATGACCTCCAAATACCCAAACAACGTCCTCGCCGACGTGGATCTAGGAAACAACCTTCGGTTTTTACCTTTTTTTCTTCTTTCCCTTTTTTTTTGCGACCGTTCGAGTTCCCGGTTGCTCGTCCTGCTCCGTGGCCTTGGTTGTTTACTGCTCTTACTCTTTTTGCATGTGTATTTTGCTCACTGCTGGTTATTTTTCTTTTGGTTTTCTGGTTTGGTTTTGCTTCGGCTCTCGTGTTATTTGGTTGTGGTTTGTTGCTCAGATGATATTTGGTTCTCTGTTGTGTACTCTGTGTTGGGTTTGCTAGCCGATGGTTGATGTTTGGTGTTGTTTCCCATGGGTACTGTTTGTTGTAGTCACTGTTTTATTCTCGGTTTCCTGTTCGGTGTTGTCTGTTGGCAGTGGGTTTTTGGTTCGAGAGATGGTTCTCGTGAGGTTTTTTGTTTTGTGGCTCTTCGATGGTTTTTGTGATGTTCGATGGTGTACCTTGTTGGTACCGTGGTTGATGGGTTTTGATGATATTGGCCCCCCCTCCGTGTTGGTAACCGGGGTATTTATACCCTGCTCGGTGAACCAGTACCCCGGGTTGTTCTGTTTTGCTCGGGGTGTTGCTGTTGAAATCCCGGGATGGTTCAGTCTCGAGATCCTTGGCCGACGTCCGGCCGTTTCGCGTGACCCTTGATCTCCCGACTTTGCACGGCGCTGACTGTTACCAGAAACCCTAGTTTGATGTTGGTACGAGCTGGGTCAGGCCCACTCTGGACTTTTTGGACTATTGGACTAACCCTGGGACAAAACGAGAAAAGAGAAAAAAATAAGTAATAAAAATAAATAAAATAAAAAAGAAGGTAAAGAAAATATAATAATAATAATAAATAATTATAATAAAAACATGTTCTAAAACCATATAATATATATGTTTAAAAAATAATTTTCAAAACTATATAATTTATATTTTCAAAAATTGCTTTAAAAACTTATATATTATATATATTTTTCAAAAACGTTTTAAAAATTATATAATATATATAAGTTTTTTAAAATGTTTTAAAAACTATATAATATATATATATATATATATATATATATATATGTTTTCAAAATGTTTTAAAAACTATATAATATATATATGTTTTCAAAATGTTTTAAAAACTATATAATATATTTTTTTCAAAATGTTTTCAAAATTATATAATATATATGTTTTCAAAAATGTTTTAAAAACTATATATCATATAGATTTCAAAATGTTTTCAAAATTATATAATATATACATATATAAAATGAATTAAAAATGACCAAAAATGAAAAAAATAAAAATAAATATGAACGAAAATAAGTGCCTACAAGAAGTTTAGTGGGAATTTCGTGGGAGACGATGAGGAGAAAGGCCTATCCATGGCGTCTTACGCATCTTTTGGCCCTAGACATTATTACCAAGATTATGAGGAATGCCTCAAGGAAAATGCGATCCTGCTACCCCCTGAACCAGCTAAGAGAAGCTGCTAAAATAGACAGAAAATCAAAAAACATGGTATCAATCAACAGCATTCTTATCTTGATGGCATTGCCAGTTGCCCTGTACTAAGCTTTTCCGGGGCTTCTGGGAGGGTAGGCTGTTTGGAAAAACTGGAAATTAAATTTTTTTTGGCGTGAATTAGATACAAAATTTTATTCAATTACCCATTTGATGTTTTACTAATAGTTTAAGGATAAAACTAAACATGAACCTTTTTATTAATATTGTCATGTCATCAATTTAACGGGAATGCGGTAGAATGATCATTTTACTATAAATTGACAACTTTAATGACCAATTTATTATTTTTAGAATTTCAGTGAGAAAAACAAATGTTTACTCAAATATTAGTAACCATTTATATAATTTACCCTTTTATTTTCTGACGAAGGATATTTCGTTTCATTGTAAGTGATGTTCTTCAATTTTACCTTCCTCTAAAATGAGATTTGTATTCTTTTAAATTAGGGTTAAAGTGCCTTATCAAAGGGTATCGACACATAATTAACCAATATCAACTTAACCATTCAAATAACTCGCATTCAATTTTATTTTCGTCGCCGAAGCAATGACCGTTAACGATTGAATAATCGATTTATTATAAAGTGATAAATTTAATAATCGTTTCATTATTTTAAAATTTTGGTACTAAAAAAGATGTTCATGTTTCAATGATTATTTATATAATTTATCTTAATACTTTTATGGGCATATTATTGTACGATAAGTTTCTAGGCCTAAGCCCAATAACATTAATTCGATCTAGTTGTATTGCCAAGTATTGACAATATTAAATATGATGAGATGATTTATTTTATTTATATTTTGATTATGACACCCATCAATTTATTTAATTAGTAAAAGAAATTATTGTTGTTTATAAAAGTTACGAATTTTAACATCAAAATGTTGTAACAGGACGATTGAGCATGTATTGTCTACTGGCTTAGAATATTTTAAATAGATATTATTTTGTAATTATCTTAGCTTAATAAAAAAAAATTATATTTGATTATGATATAATTAATTTATTAATATTTATGTTATATAAGTTTTTTTATATAAAAAAGAAAATTAAAACATTTATCCCTCACGGGTTTCATCTTGAAGACTAATGTGAACAAAATAAAAAGACAAAAGAAACAGAAATCAAAGGCTCTAGAACCTGCACGATTCGGTTGCTGTCTTTTAGAGGGCTGGTTGTCGCTAGAAACTTCCCAATTTTTCTAAATCAGAAATTTCAAGAAATTTACCCACTTTTATCCATGTATAAATATCCCCTCTAACCTTTACGATCCATGCAATAGAAATCAACAAGATACTCTGTTCTGTCGTCTTTTAAGTCGCTGGTGGAGTTCCAAACTTGCATTTCAAGAAAATTAACCAACTCTCATTCTGTACATATACACAATGAGGCTCTTGCTGTTGCTTTTAGTGTGTTACATTGGCCTATGCAATGGGTCAAGTTTGCTGCAATTCATGGACAACCAATACCCCGGCGGTGGCAGTCTCTTGTTCCCCGATCCGTTCCGAGTGTTGGAGCAAATCCCGCTTGCCCTCGAGAAGGACGAGAGCGTTGCATTGTCGCCGGCGAGGGTTGATTGGAAGGAGAGGCCGGAGGGGCATACGATAACGGTGGATGTGCCGGGGTTGAAGAAGGAAGAGCTGAAGATCGAGGTGGAAGAGAACCGAGTGCTGAGGGTGAGTGGAGAGAGGAAGAGGGAGGAAGAAAAGAAGGGCGACCATTGGCATCGGGTTGAACGCTCTTACGGCAAGTTTTGGAGACAGTTTAAGCTGCCTGAGAGTGTGGATTTGGACGGTGTGAAGGCTAAGCTTGAAGATGGGGTGCTTACTTTGTCTTTGCCCAAGTTGTCTCCCGACAAGATTAAGGGTCCCAGGGTTGTCGACATTGCCGGGGGAGGAGCACCCCAACTCAAGGCTGATGATGCCAAGCAGGAGCTTTAGACTTTTCTGAGCATTTCCCAGGCTGCTTAAGTTGATGAATGTAAGAGGAAAAAGATCTTTATAAATAAAATAATTGTAATGGAATGGAATGCAATGTGAGAGACTAAAATTTGAGTTTCGTAATGTAATTATGAGCGGTGGTGTCTTTTATAGTTATTTTCTCGGTTTCGTGCTCACTACACTGATTTTGTTTATATGCATCAATTTAAAAGTATTATTTTTATATTAATAAATTATTTGATTAATTGCAAGAGAAAACATTAAAATATTTTTTATGATTTTCCCCTTTTGTTGTGCATTCTGAATGATTTTTATAATATAAATGTTACTTTATGCACTTATTTCTTTATGCTTGCACTTCAAAAAATGCAATGGAAGAATTGATGTACTTACAAGGAGCCTACTTTAAATAGTTATTTTCTCGGTTTCGTGCTCACTACACTGATTTTGTTTATATGCATCAATTTAAAAGTATTATTTTTATATTTAATAAATTATTTGATTAATTGCAAGAGAAAACATTAAAATATTTTTTATGATTTTCCCCTTTTGTTGTGCATTCTGAATGATTTTTATAATATAAATTGTTACTTTATGCAATTATTTCTTTTATGCTTGCACTTCAAAAAATGCAATGGAAGAATTGATGTACTTACAAGGAGCCTACTTTAATCCAAGGTAATTCGGGTGGGTTCAGAATTTGGCTTCGACTTGGAATAAAATATTGGAGTCACCATCGATCATTTATTTTTCGTAAAAATTTGGTTGATCGGATACCATCTTACTTGATCTGCGTTTTACCAGAAATATGTCGGATTCGGGAGTCGGTTACAGTCAAGGAAGGATTAGCACCCTTGAACTGCCCTTTCGGTACCATTTAATTTATCGGTTGTTTTAATTGCGAAAATTACAATTTAAATTAAAATTTAGAGATTCGATTCAAATTACTTACCTTTAATTGATTAAAATTATCCTAAAAAATCATAAATAAAGTAAGAAAATAAAACAAACAAACACAAAGAGTTAGTATTAAGATTGAAATAAAATAAATAAATAAAAGGAATGAAAAAAAATCAAATTAAAAATTAAATTGGAAACAATTAAAATTTATGGGTCGAATTAATCTTAAGAACGAGCTGCAAGAAAAACAAAAACTTAAGAGATTAAATAGAAAAAATAAAAAAAATAAAGTACTAAAATAACACAAACAAAAAATTAAAGGATTAAAGTAGAAGGATCTAATAAATATATATGAACAAATAAGAGCCTCAACAATTAATTTAAAATGAATAGAAGGACCCAAAACCTAATTATGTTAACTAAAAATGCAAGAAAACATAAGATAGTTACTAAATAAAAATAAGCAAGGATCTAAATTCAAAAAATTAAAACAACAGTGACTAAATTAAAAGTTAATAGTGACTAAAATAAAGGAAATGAAAGTTACAGGCATAGATCATCACAAAATATAACATATTGGTGATCGAATTGAAAATAACGAAAATAAAGCGCTAAAAATAAAATAAAATAAAAACATAGAGCTTTGGTGACTAGAATGTAAAAATAAGGTAATATTAGAGGGACCTAAATGTGATTAGACTCAAGGATTTGGTGGCTAATTTTTAAAAAAAATGTGATAATTGAGTGACTTAAACATAAATAGACCAAAACAAAAAGAGACCATTATAAAAGATGACAATAAATTAAAAGATCCTATGTGAGGTTAACCCAAAATTCAAATTAAAAGCACTCCCCCACCTAAATTAACTCCAGAACACGTGAACCCCAAATAAAACCCCATTTCCCATTTTTTATTCTGTAACATATCAAACCCACAACCTTCTTCTCATTTTCTTTCACGCAGAGCATCCATGGAGTCCCAAATTTCCAGTGAAATCGAGAGCCACACCAACCACTCGACCCTAGACCCGACGACGACGACACCCCTACTCCGACGTACTACAGCAAGGTAACTTAACTCTCTATTTGTATTTTAATTATTATTTTTAAACTCGTGGAATTTACGTTAACTACGAACAAAATTACAAACTAAAATTCTTATTATTAGTTGCATTCGAATTGAACAAAAAAATTAAAGAAAACTGAAATATAAACTGAACTACCTTAGGAATTGCTGGAAAAAAAAATCTGTATTTTATTGCTATCCCCTTCTGAAAAACGAGAGTAATCCCTTTTACAATTCTTCCTTCCCTCTTTCTTCCATTTCAATCGGCTATTTATAGTCATTTTCTTACATAGCTTTTACATAAAAAAATAACAATTTGCAATCTAATCATACTTTAGATCAGATATCACATGCGTCTGTAGGATTGGTAGGAAACAAGCATTAACGCTCTGGGATAGTGATGGCAGCAAGTTGCTTATAAAAGGACCAGGGCGAAATGAAGTGTATACATTATTCTTTAAATAAAAAATGAGGATTACTTGAGAGGAAGCTACCAAATGCACCAAATTTAATACACACGTTATATTAAAAAAATTAATAGCCGTAATATTTAAATAAATTTGTTAATTAATGTAAACAATTTTAAACGAACTTATTTACACAAAAAAATGTATTGGTATTTCCCGTTATGAGAAATTCACTGGAAATTAATTTTTTCAGAACTAAAGGATCCAACTAAAATGTTTTATAGTTAAGGAACTACACACTTTATGGTTTTTTTTGTTGGAGAAACAAATTATGAATATTCTTTTAATTAATTTTTTTGATAAAATAATATTTAAGATAATAAAAAAGAATAAATTGATGGTTTACATTTGAACAACGTAAATCTTTTAAAAAAGTTAATAGATAAATCATATGAAAGCGTGATTTTATTTTTGTCATGTTATCATATTCAAATTTATAGTATCTAAAATTATCAAACCTATCAGCTGCTGACAGCTTCATGACGAACAAGGCATTGCTATACCTCGAGTGATTGTTGTCTAAACCATTTCTTATTCTTTTTATATACATATTTTATTACTACGAAGCAAAGCCTACGAGACAGAAATGAAGAGATTGTGGATAACATTATATTATATGGTATGCATGCATGCATGCATGCATGCATTCATGCTGCCAGTAACATGACTTTTCCCCCTCCAAATTCAATCAACTTTAGCGGGACAACAGTCTGAAGTTACAGGGCACATTCAAATAGGGATATAAGATACAATCCTTCAATAAGACTGTAAAATCAGGTAATCGGTCAGGTTTCAGTCGGATCTTGGTAGGTCGGGTAAAATCGGATACAGGTCAACTCAGGTTGATTTGACTCCAGATCCAGATCGGGTTTAGGTCAGGACAAATCAGTTTGGGTTATTTTCAGGTTGATTTGACACCAGATCCAGATCGGGTTCAGGTTCAGGTCATGTCATTTTCAGTTCGGATCGATGTCAGTTCAGGTCAAAACAGTTCATGTCCGAAGCATATAAAAACCAGGTTAATTCAGGTTCGGGTGGACTTCAGTCGGATCTCGTTCAGATCGGGTCACATCATTGACAGATAAAATTCAGGTCGGATGTTTACCGGATACAGATTGAGTTCAGGTCGGGTCGTTTTTATTTTTGGATTAATTATTTTGTCATCTTTCATTATTGTTGAATTGCAAGTTGTAATTGTATGTGATTTCGAGTAAATTAAGAGAAAAATAAATATTCATGGATAAATTTTGTAAAAAATATAAATTTAAGGACAAAATTGAAGAAATGTAAAATTACAAATAAAATTTTAAAATATAAATTAAACAACACACATAGGTAAAGGACTAAATCGAAATAAATTTAAAATGTGAGGTTTAAATTAATATAAAAAAGGACTAAATTAAATACATTTAAAAATTATAGGCCAGTTACAAAAATATAAATAACAACTAACAATGGGCCAAATGAAGATGCAAATATAAATTTAAGGACTAAATTGAATACATATAAAAGTGAACGACTTAAAATTGAAATAAATTAAAAAACAAAAAAGGTTTAAATCGAAATAAATACAAAATGTGAAGAAATAATAAAAAATATAGTAAATTGCATTCATTTAAAAATTGAAAAAAAACATAATATATATATATATATAATATAAGTTTATATATAAACTATATATATAAACTATATTTATATTATAAATTATATAATTATTATAAGTTATATATATAAATTATGTTTATATGAACTATATATATATATATAAACTATATATGTAAACTATATAGGTATAAACTATAAAAAGTATATAGTTTATAAACTATAATTTTTATTAATATAGTATTTATATATATATTATTCAAAGTGAGTGGTGAGAGAAAACTTTTTAAAATAAAGATATTTTTGTATGCAATTTTTTTTTATTTGGGAATTTAGAGGGAAATTTTGAGAATATAGGGAAATTGAGAATTTAGAGGAAAATTGGGAAATTTAGAGGGAATAGAAAATTTTGGAGGGAAATTGAGAATTGAGATTTTATTTGGAAATATATTTTGGGTTAATTAGGCTCATGCTCCTCCAACAATCATCATTTTTCCACTTGTATTTGATTTTTGATTTCTTTCATTTTAGTAATGGTTTAATTGTAAATATCTTATTGAATTTTCAATTCGATGCAATTTAATCATGTATACATTCTAATTAATTTTAATTTTCCATATATATATATATGTATAAACTATATAAAATATATAGTTTATAAATTATAATTTATATTAATATAGTATATATATGTATGTATAACTAATATAAGTAATCTATGGATTATATATATATAGTTTATAGAAACACTATGCATAAACTATATAAAGTAATAAAGTATATAATTTATAAAACCCTAAATCTTAAAGCCTAAATCATGAACCCTAAACCCTAACCCTTGAACTATATATGTAACTTATAGACATGTATGTATAAATCATGTATAGTATATATAAACTATATATATATAACACATATATATATAAACTATATAAAGTAATAAATTATATAGGTTTATAGAAACCCTAAACCCTAAACTTTAAACTATAAACACTAAACCATAAACCCTAATGTAAATAGACTAGCACTAATGCATAAACTATATAAAGTAATAAAATATATAGTTTATAGAAACCCTAAATCATAAACTATAAACCATAAATATTAAACCCTAAACCCTAATATAAATAGACTAGCACTATGTTAGTGTTTTTAGCAGGTTTGGTGATCAGAGTTTTTGTTGTTGTTTGGATATGGTTGTCCATCTCGTTCTATCTTCGTTCTGTTGCATGGTTTGTAATGGTGTTAGTTTGAGTTGGGTTGTGGTTTGGGGTATGCCTTGTGTGTTGTTAGTGTTATTTTTGTATTCGATCCTTCCCACCTATTGGTTCACTCTTTTTTCTCCACTTAGGGTTAGAGAGGTTTTTTAATGAGGCCCTCGAGGTGGTGTACTTTGCAATTATTCGTAATACAAAGTACTCTCTTTTCAAAAAAATGGACTAGCACTAAACCATAAACACTAAACCCTAAACCCTACACCCTAAACAATTACAAGTTGTAATTGTATATGATTTCGAGTAAATTACAAAAAAATCATGGATCAATTTTGTTAAAAATATAAATTTCAGGACAAAATTGAAGAAATGTAAAATTACAAATAAAATTTTAAAATATAAATTAAACAACACACATAGGTAAGGGACTAAATCGAAATAAATTTAAAATGTGAGGTTTAAATTAATATAAAAAATGGTAATTGATGCTAGCTAGCATGGGGCGTTTGGTACTTGATTCCCAGTTAGTGCGTTATGATAGTGGTTATTCCCACACAAGTAGTGCGCATGCACTTCTTTGTCATTGGAATGGTTATTTTAATGCTTTTGAGAAACTTAATAGGGCGCACATGGGATCAAAATTGGAAGGATGTGCTGCTTTAGAAAGTAATATTATTGATTTGCCGTTTGAGCCTAGTGGAGGGGTCTCGATCAAGGCCATTGACGTGCATTGTGGGCGTTTGGTTTCTATTGGAGACGCAGATCCCGCCTAAAACCCCGATTTTCATTTCGTGCGCAATTGAATTTCAATTTGCACCCAAACTAAATATAAACTATATAATTATTGTAAGTTATATATAAATTAGGTTTATATGAACTATACATATAAACTATGTATATATATGTATAAACTATAAAAAGTATATAGTTTATAAACTATAATTTATATTAATATAGTATATATATAAACTATATATGTATAAATTATATAGTTTATAAATTATAATTTATATTAATATAGTATATATCTGTATGTATAACTAATATAAGTAATTTATAGATTATATATATATATATATATAGTTTATAGAAATACTATGCATAAACTATATAAAATAATAAAATATATAATTTATGAAAACTCTAAACCTAAACTCTAAACCCTAAATCATAAACACTAAAACTTAAATCTTAAACCCTAAACACTAAACTACATAAATTAATAAAATATATAGTGTATAAAAACCCTAAACCTTAAATCATAAACCCTAAACTTTAAACCATAAACCCTAAATCCTAATATAAATGAACTAGCACTAATGTATATATATTTGTAATAAAAGAATGAACTTATGTATTAGACCTATGTAAACTAATATAAATGGACTAGCACTATTACAAATTGACTTAATTTTTGGTTTTATTATTACTGATTCATAACAACAAAATAAATGGGCTATTAATGTGAATTAACCTAACATGCAACTAAAATATTAATTATGCAAATGAAATATGACATGTACTATTTATGAACCATATAATATGCAATGTGACATATTAATTATTTAACACCTAATTAATCATGTTTTATATAATTTACATTTAAATAATTTTATTAATTTTATTAAATAATTTTATTTAATATGTATGTATAAACCATACATGTACTACTATTTATGAACCATATAATATGCAATGTGACATACTAATTATTTAACACCTAATTAATCATGTTTTATATAATTTACATTTAAATAATTTTATTAATTTTATTAAATAATTTTATTTAATATGTATGTATAAACCATATATAGTATATATAAACTATATATATATAACCTATATATATATATATATAAACTATATAAAGTATATTACTTATATAGTTTATAGAAACACTATGCTTAAACTATATAAAGTATATAGTTTATAGAAATCTTAAACCCTAAATCATAAACCTTAAACCATAAACTTTAAACCATAAACACTAAATACTAAACCATAAACCCTAATATAAATAGACTATCACTAATGCATATATATTTGTAATAAAAGAATGAGTTTATGTATTGGGCCTATGTAAACTAATGTAAATGGACTATCACTATTGCAAATGGACTTATTTTTGGATTTTATTATTACTTATTCATAACAATAAAATAAATGGGCTATTAATGTGAATTAACCTAATATGCAACTAAAATATTAATTATGTAAATGAAATTAGTATGACATGTACTATTATTTATGAACCATATAATATGCAATGTGACATACTAATTATTTAACACCTAATTAATCATGTTTTATATAATTTATATTTAAATAATTTTATTAATTTTATTAAATAATTTTATATAATATGTATGTATAAACCATGTATAGTATATATATATATACTATATAAAATAAATTACTTCGTCCATTGAAATATATAAGTCAAGTAAATATCATATCAGATCATTAACAAGTCGGATCATTTACAGGTCAGGTTAAAAACAGGTCAGGTTGAAAACAGGTCGGGTAATACCAGTTATTTACCAGGTCAATCTCGGGTTCGGGTTCATATCAATCGGATGCAGTTCGGGTTCGGGTATCATATTTTCGATTCAATTCGGGTTCAGGTCGTTCTCAGGTCGAATGTAGTTCGGGTTCGGATCTACAATTTTCAGGTCCAAATCGGGTTCAGATCAACACCAATTTCGACTCGAGTCGATTTCGGATCGCCACAATGCAGGTCAAAAACAATTTTGACTCAAGTCGGTTTCGGTCAGTTTTACAGGTCGGGCCAGCTTTTTACAGCCCTATTCAAAATATATAAACAATGAAAATCAGGGGAAAACAGTATTTCATACCCATATCAGAATAATACAGTATTCAAAGGTCTTCAAGCGAAGGAGAAAGGAATTTACATACAATAAACTGTTATTGTATCATATACATGCAACGGTTGTACAGTGAACTAAGTTATGTTAAAAAAAAAGAAATTTAAGAACAAAAAACTGAAACTATTACCTAAATAAATAAAAAAGAATTAATGTTTTGTAATTCTAGAACTCGACTGGTTGTATAATACACTATAAATTATAGGTTGTGGAAAATCTTAACCAAGAGGGTTTAAACTTAACTATATATAAGTTTAGTCGTGTTGCCGTTTTCATGAACGGATTCTGTTTGCTTACACATGCAATCTGGCATTGGAAAAGTGTAGACCGAGCCGGTGGGTTTTTTCAATTCACTTCCCTTCGCATCGCTATGGCGTAGCATATCCTTCATCTGCTGTTTGAAGGTTTCCCATCTATGGAACACAAGACAGTCGATGTTATAAACTCTAATACATTAGAATATGATATAGAAATGCACTTGAGGGAATGCAGAATATACATTGTAAGTAAAGCTGATCATTATGCTCAACATAATAACTACAAAAATCTTGTAAATAAAGCTGATCATTCAACACACAAAATCCGAAAGCGAATTACCAAGCATAATAGAGAAGAGGGGTGTGACTTGGATTCGGGTGTGAGTATTGGATGCAAGTATATGTCGAAACAAATATGTTCAATTTTTTTCTAAGTTTTTCTATTTATTTAGAGGGTCGTAATGCCTAAAATGTGGGGAATAGGGATGCATGTAAGATTTTATAATAGGTATGACGAACTTATAATATTTTAGAGGCGGACAAACTTATAGAATATAAATTATCAATGGAAAATACAAAAAAAATATCTAAAATATATGAGAATTTGAGCATTTTAGGAGAGGCGACTGGCTCAGTCCATCATTGGTGGGGAACTTGGGTCCTTTTAGAAAAATGAAAAATCATAGCAACATAGCAAGAAGTTACTCAGGAAGGAAGGGTGTGCCTATTAGGGCAGCAGTCCAAGATAACTCACAAATGGCACATGACCCAAAAACAACACTTTAAAACAACTAACTAATCGATCAAAACAATACTGAGATGATTTAAGTAGATTTCGACCACGATTTACCTGATATGGCGGCTATCAAATAGCAGTGCTAATTTCCTCTTGTCGGGCTTAATTGTTTTAGCATGTCCACCATATAAATATCGTCGATGACCCATTAAGAAGTGGGGGAAGTTTCCACCTTGTGTCGTGACAAATACTTCACTGTGAAGACAAACTGTGTAGTCAAGTGCTGCCAACCTAGATGAATGGTCCTACATTATGAACTAGAATGTTACAAAATTTATTCATTTCTAGCTTTCTTCTTTCTTCCTCTTCCGAGGCAGTTACTATTAGATTTTGCCCTGGCCGATCTAACAAAGCAACAGGTTAAAAGTGAAATTGGTACCTTGAATATAGCAAGTTCTTCTGGAGTAGCCACTGTATCCTTTGTTTCTAAAAGTGGAAACATCTGTTTAAGGGGAGCCATGTATTTTTCTGCTTTGTAAATATTTCCAGCGGCAACAAACACTGAAGTATTCTTATCAAAACCCATGCCCCTAAGCATCATTCCCACCTACAGGACCAAATTAATAAATTAGTGAATATTCATGAATAACTTATGCCCTACCATAAAAAGGAGCAAAACAAGTTATAGTTGGATACCTCCAGAGGACTTAATGGGCATTTTCCATCCACACGATTTGCATCTGGCCTTATAACTCTGCCCCTTCGCCTAAATTTTCCTCTCCAACTTCTTTCTCGTGCAATATTCATCTCTTGTCTCTCTTCTTCCCCACCATCATACTCGCAGCATGAAAATGCAACCATATCCTTCCCAAAGAAAAATATCTTTCAAAAATAAAGCACAGTGGCTAAACGGAGAACTCAAGAATCAATGAATTATTCATCCGTGCACAAGGAACAACAAAAATACCATTTCAAACCGAAGATGCACAGAAACATAATTTCCTCCACTATGGGAGCTATTCTTGAGCATCCTCTCAACCATTTTATCAGCAAGTGCCAATATAGGTTCAGAAAACCTCAGTGCCTCAAAATTGGATAAGCATCTAAGCCCTTGTAGATTTGAAGGAACTGAATATGCCAACCTGTTAGAAAAGGGTGCAATGCGAACAGCCCTGAAAAAATGAAATCATATAGCAATTAACTCATTACTTATGTGTTACAAATCAATGACAATAAATCATATTCCCTGTTGTTAGAAATTGAGCATGGGAAAGGGTAGATGATACAAAAAAAGTGATAACCGTACATCTCTAAAATATTAGCAGCTCTCACTGAACATAACTCAGGTCTTGCAGTTTGCAACATATAAAGGCATTCTACAACAAATATATGTAATACTTACGACTTAAACCAATCCAAAAGAATAAAAGACCTCAAATTTCTGCAGATATATAAAGAAATATATACAGCAAAATTAAATAAGATTATGTTCTAACCATCACAAGGCATGTTTAGTGAAATAAACAAAATTGAAGAACAGCAATGCTATCAATAATTGATTTCCTCTGAACATGAAAGTTTTGATAGTAAAGAGAGCAACATGAGCAATCTCTGAGATGAAATTGACGTCATGTGTTGAATAGATAATTGGCAAGACAAATTTTGACCTTTTGGAACTTTTTCTAGAAGTTTAAATGCTGCAATTTAAAGGCAATTTTGGGTCACTTCCCATCAGTTTTTTGAAAATTGAACTTTAGTAAATCTTTCCTCCTTACTCAGAATGCTGAAATTTTCCTGAAATTTATTTAGCTGTCCCAAACCAAAAGGAGTCGAGAAGGATTCTTTTAACTGATCCAACTAGTTCAGAAAGTTTTTACAGCACTAGACATTATTCTTATTCATCATCCTTCAGTCAGAAATTGTGATTCGTATAGAGATGAATATACTTTGCTACACCAGACCACCTAAGTTTTCACCTGCTTCTCATTTACATTTTAAAGGAATTGCAAGATCATTGTCATTGATTTAATTTTCTTACAAGTTTTTTTTCCCTCCAGGGAATTAAAATTTGGGTACTCATAGTAGAAAAGAGTAAATTGCATACCCCATTGCCTTTAGTTTTGGAAGAACCTTCTGGAGATAATGAGCCGGACTCGACCAACCTTTTACTCTCAAGTTAACAATGTTGCTAATGTTATTGTCAAACCTCTGAAGTACATCTTCAGGGAGCTCTCTGACCACATTCACATGATTTCTAAGTGCATGTATAAAGAATTCTTCATCAAAAATATCTCCAAACTTGCTGCAATAAAATGAAAAATGACAAGAAAGCATATTAAAGAATTGAAACATTTTTTACTGTGGTCTATATATATATATATGGGATATCTTTCAGACAAAATAGATATTTAACCAAACATCTAAGGTCCTTTTCAAATAAATAATAAATCACTTCTTGTTTGTAACTTCTTCTCAAAATACATTCCAGGAGGCATTATTCTCCTATAAGTCTAAATTGAGGCAGAATAAAAATTATGCCCTTTGTTATGTAAAGGCAATTGTAGGTAGATGAATAAAAAATACTACCAATAGTAACTGTTGTCTCGGTTGAGATTGGCTGGAGACCTTTACAATTTCCAAGACAAGTAGCAGTTCTCCCATAAAATTCAAAATTTTGCAAGGAAAAGAGAGCTTGTTTTTCATTTTGATTTGAATGATATACTTTGATAACACTACTGAAAGGAAAAGAGAACAAGATCACCAAAATTAATATATTTAAGTACCTTATCATATTATGCATCAATAGGACCAGGAAGACTCGACATTTAAACCCAATGAAATTGTTTATGAACAAATGGCATAGGCCTGACTAATAGAAAGTTAGAAACCTTTAACCATAATAGTGACTGTAATGTAATGAAGTTGTCAAAAACCCATTTCTTCTACACAAAGAGAATGGTCGTCAAAATTACTTTCAAACCTGAATTTAGTCAGAACGTGCACTCATAATTAAAAGGATGATGATGATAACCTGGAATCTTGCCAAACACTGTTCAAATGAAAAATTGGAATGACCAGAGTTGCATTTAGCAGCCAAGCCACAGCCACAGCATCACATATCTGCATCAAAAGTGTGAAGATGCAATCAAATAATACTATCATTATCCTCTATAATAAACAATTGACAGATGTGTACTTTTTCAATTTGTGTCCGTCATAAGAATTATTCAGACATACAAGTTGAAAAAACTTTTTTAGTCTAGTAAAGCACACAGCTTCAGCTCAAGTTGAATATTGAACAAAATAGCTGAAGAAACTAGAAACATATGCTACCAAGTCAACATGCCTGATGGGCAGAAATACAAATTGGCTCATCATGTCAACCCTTCAAGAAAACAATGAAAAGATAAAAAAAAAAATCATACAAAGAAGACTGATGGATATGGTCTCAGCCAGATACCCAAACGTACATACTAAAATGTATTCTCAGATGAAATGTCAATCGTTTTGCATCTTTGGCCATCTATATAGCAAATCAATATAACGTATCAAATATTATTCTCCTTGCATATCATAATACCCGTCCATATTATTTCTAGGAAGTCTCAAAATATTCTTTTTTCTTTAGCATGATCTTTATGAACTGTCCAAAACAATTATTATTCTTTTACTCAATACAACCAGTGTAAGGAAATAACAAAAAGCAGTACTACAAGTAACATGTGAACCCAAATTGTTACAAGGAGACAAGACAACAAAGATTGAAAATATTTAGTACTAAGAACTCCATCCTATTTAAGTTTAGGAAAGAACAGTGTTGAAGCAAGACTTTGAAAATTATTAAAAATGTGTCATAACTAATTATGGCTTCTTAAACTGTATGATTTTCAAAATGATCAAACTTTGACAAAGTATGGTCAGTCTAATATTTAGTTGGGGCTTGTGATGTAAGGTAAAACAATCAGAACACGTTCAGATGAAGATCCATGCGCCTAAAATACTGTCAAATTAGCCATTCAACTATGAAATGCATATAAAAGAAAGTGCAGCTAAATCTTTTCAAGCAAGTATGAAGAAACAATAGAGGAAACTAAAAACCAGATGCTCCACGATATTTCAAGGAAATCTCCAAAAATGTGTTTTAACAGTTGCCTCACGATAGTTAAAGGAAATCTCCAAAAAGATGTTTTAACAGTTCTTGACTTCTTGAGAATGAATGCCCTATCATATGCATCCAACGGTCCAACATACTTGCAAGCAGCAGATTAAATAGTTTCGGTAAGAACAAAGCCATGTAATATAGCGCACATTATGGCTATTTATAACATATGAAGAAGCAATGGAGAGGAACTAACAGCAATCACTCCAGCAATCAAGCATTTTGCAATCATTTTTATCGATTCGAGGTTTTAATAGGGGCAACCAAAATCAGTAACAACTAAAACCAACCGATAAGCGTTGTTGATTCAAGCCTCCATTTGCTTCAATTATAAGGAAACCATTAGACTCTGGCAATTCTGAAAAACCTTGAAAACAAAAAAGGCAGCAGTTAATTTCTAACTTTACAAGAGGCAAGAGACGGGTAAATAGAATTGCAGATATCATCAACCTGACAACGACTAATCCCTTGAAATAACAGATATGGAGTTTTCACTACTGCCACACTATGAAGCACAAACATGGACATGAACACATAATATGGATCTGATATATCATGAGCATGCGATGATAGTTTCTGAAAAGTGAGAAAACTAGTTATAAATCAGGATTTTACAAACTTAAGGCTTTGCTTGGTATGAACTATGAAGGATGGAAAGGACGAATGATGAAATATTTGTTAATCAAATGGTTAAGATTCATTGTGCTAGGTGGGCCTAATTTGCTGAAATAGATCAAGGTAATTATCCTTTTTTCTCCTCCTCCCAAATAGTGTGTTTCATACTTGGCATAAGACTGAAAGCTTCCCCTCATTGTCTCTTCTTCTCTATGTGTTCGTTCTCATTCTTGCTAAGCACAAAGAAAGCCTCTGTTCCAGAGATTTTAGCAACTATTCATACTACAGGCCCCATTTTTTTCACTTCTTTCTCATTCTCTATCTAAGTTCTTATTCTTTCAGGATAACCAGAATTTGATTTTGGTCTGCCTCTCTTCTCTAGATTTCAGAAATCTGTTTGTTACTGTTACCCGTAACACTGATGTCATGTCATCCTCCATGTGTCAGATCTCTTTTAGCCCCCCAACCCCACCCCCCATCCAAAAAAAAACCACTCATCTCAATTCTGTCATTTTGTGTCCGCGCATGTAACCTTTGATTTTTATTTTATTTTTCTCTTCAAGTGTAGTGTATGTTTTTTTCCATGTTGCTTATAAATCTGTGTCGGACACTGGAACAACAGGCACCTTATGTCAGTGCTTCATAGGTGCTACATGAAGGAGAAGCCGCCAAAAACTCAGAAATTTTTAGAGAGGCATTTAAAATACACATAAAATTCTGGATGAAGTTGAAATATGAAGTTATGAACCCTCAAACAGGGATTCTAAAATACCGTATTTACAAGATCAACTTGGATGATTTGCATAAACCTAAAGATCTTCTTTCCCTCCTGCAATAGTACAATAGAGGGGGATTTGTTCATATGTATATTTAAAGGCCGTTTCTCAAAGCTTGTCCACTCTCCCGATGGGCCCCTGCATGACAATTCTGACTAGGTGAAAGTGCCTAAACTGATTGCTTAGGATTTATCCCCTTTCAGAGCCAGAGGCTGGGATCATAGCTTCTTGATCAACCAAGGCATGATAGCTAAAGCCAATTTAGAAATTAAATTTTGCAATACAAGGCATTTAGTAATAATCCCTTTGCAAAATCATAACTAAGGCATGATAACTTTTGGTGTTATGTTGGGTTTAGACAAATTACGAAGGCTCTTATGAAGTGTTTATTTTTGGATCAGCTGAATTCATTTTCTAAATGTAACGGTTCTGGAAATCCTGTTCTACTACCTATTTCATATCAATAGTTGCTGCTAGATAGGTAAATGAGTTTTGAAAATAGATTTGGGTGTTGGTGATTCTTGGAGAATTTTCCATCTAATTGATTGAGTTTTCCTTACCCATCACAACACAATAACAAATTCAAAAACAAACTTTTCAAAAGAAGGATATAATAGTGCAGGCCAAAATTTGACACTAAGCCAGCGGCCAGAGAAAGAAACGGTTTAAACACTCTTCGGTAAACCAGGAACAGACAATACCAAGATAATGAAACTTTGATGCCTACACGGCCTAATGCAGCACTATAATATTGAACATCAATTAGCTCGATGTACCAATTTGTTTCTACTGAAGTTGGTCTTCCCATAAGCAAAAAAAATCATGATTATGTCTTAGAATTCTCAAAGCACAATAAATAGACAGTAGAAGCCCCCAAAAAAAACAGTACCGCGTTATGACTGGCATTGCTAAGGCTATCAGCCTCCATAAACGGCCAAAGCTTCTCAAAAAACTGAGGACTCCAGTAAACGGAGCCAGTCGGCAAACGCCTATGAACAACAGAAACCGCGTTTTGCAAACTCGCGACATCGAAGCCTAAAGACCCCATGAACAACAACATTCCCGAGATATACAACAACGGTGCGAACAACAGCAAGCCTTTTCTGCGGAACACCGCGGATATCAACAGGAACACTATCCTATCCGCCGCCCTCAGCTTCCCACCACGTGCACATCCGCCTCCGCCGCCGCCACTAGCAGTGAAGTTCTTGGAATGTCCGTGGCGAAACCGCGGAGAAGAAGGCGGAGAAGGAGAGATGGAACGGTTACTATTCCGCATTTTACAGAGAAAGAAAAATAGTTAGTGACGACTTGAGGATCTCATTTGGTTAATCTTTTTAGCTCATTCTTTCTGAATTTGTTTTCTAAAAGTAAAGTGGATTGGTTTACTTGGTGATGGGAATCACGGACTATGGCCAGCTACTTTGATTCGTGGAGGAGGAAGCTTTTAATGGAGGTGCGCGTGGGGAGTGACCGACACTGATTTCGTTAACCCCTCCACTTTCACTCTTTACATTTACTTACGCCATACAGTCAACTAGAAGTCCCTCTATTATGCCCAAATATTCATTTTAGTATTTCTACTGTTAAAAAAGATGTTTTAATCTTTCTTGTATTTTGAAAAATATAATATTTGGATAAAAAATGTTAATTTATTATTAGTTGAACCAACACGTTAAGTATTTCTTAAACTTTTATCTATTTATAAATTAATTCAATCGGTTCTCTTTAAAATTAAGGTAATCTATATATTTTTGAAGCGAATAAATAAGGATAGCTCACTATGGAATTATTATTTTTCTTTATATGTGTGTCTATGTTTTAATAACTTTTATAAAATAACATTGATACTAGGGTGAGCAAAATTCGACTCGACTCGAATTGACTTCGAGTTAGAATTTTATAAACTCGACTCGACTCGACAAAATTTCAAATTTAAATCGAGTTGTATTATGCATCTCGAATAACTCAAAATTTCTAGTAATTAGTAAATTTATTTTCAAGTTCGAGTCGAGTCATTCGAATTTGTATAATATATGTATATCACATATGGAAAAAATATGAAGAAACATATTTGTATTGTATATATGGCTATAGAAATTCACTTAAATTGGAACCAAATAATATTATAATATTATAAATATTCACAATTAAATTTAAACAGAAACTCAAAAATCGACTCGACTCAAGAAAATTTAAAACTAAATCCGAATTGAAAAATATGACTCATCAATTTGAATACCTCAAATTTTTTTACTCGACTCGAATCGATCTAACGCTCACCCCTAATTGATACCCTTTTTATAACTTATTTCTCAAAATTCAGAAAACGTAAGATAATTATTCATTGCCGACGAAAGCGAAAATTACGCTTCAGTTGTAACACTATTCGACAAATTAATAAAGAGAAAATAACTTCAGTGCCAAAAAATGCCTTATAATATACGATTTTAACCAACTTTTTTGAATTTGTCAAAATGACCAACTAAATCGCAATGCGATCGATAATTCGCAACGCGATCTCCGGTATCGCAAATCAGTTTCCAGATTCGCAACGCGATTCTAACTATCGCATTGCGATTTTCCAAATTCGCGTTGTGATTTTCCTAATTCGCAATGCGAATACGTAAATCGCAATGCGAATTTGAAAAATCACAATGCGAATACGTAAATCGCAATGCGAATACGTAAATCGCAATGCGAATACGTAAATCGCAATGCGAATACGTAAATCGCAATGCGAATACGTAAATCGCAATGTGAATACGTAAATCGCAACGCGAATCTGACTATCGCAATGCGATTTACATAGCGCCATTCGTATCCAACGCGTATTTTTTTTTCAAATTTCAAATTTCACTTAGATTGCTTAATAAATTCATTCGGTTGCTGCCAATACTGTTTAACTGTTTATTCTTTAACCCTGTGAAGTTAGTATTTGTTTTTGGTTGTCTTTTGGTTGAAGTAATGCAATCCATTCAAGTTTCAATTTGCATAAGAAGAATAGTTTACTATCGCAATGCGAAAATGACTATCGCAACGAGAGAATCGCAATGCGAAATGAAAATCGCAACAACAAAATCGCAACGCGAAAATGACTATCGCAATGCGAATTTGACTATCGCAACGAGAGAATCGCAATGCGAATTGTGATAGTCATTTTCGCGTTGCGATTTTAAGTTTCATATTCTATTCTTCTTCTGCAAATTGAAACTTGAATGAATTGCATTACTTCAACCAAGAGACAAATACTAACTTCACAGTGTTGAAAATTTAAGTTTCAAGAATAAACTACTACTCTTTATGTTGTCATTGAACCTGCACTAAACCTATATGTTGTCCTTTTAAATGTTTATATAAGTGCTTACTTCTGGAATGTTATCTGATGCATTTTGTGAACAATGATATAATAATGACTTGGGTGAATACCGTGCAAGTTTGAAATATATTTGTCTTTGTTTTCACTGTTTAATATCATGTCTGTTTATTTATTGATTTATGTATTAATTTATTTTTAGCGGCCCGTTAAGGTGGATGCTCTACGTCGGGTTTTTCTTGCAAGACGGAGTTCACGCATCAGACGGCGTGCACGTGTCATTACGTCTCCGTTCACCCTAATAGTGCGAAGAATCCGTAAGAAAAAAACCCGACTCACATGTCATCGTTCAAGAGGCCTCCCCTATCGTTCAAGAGGCCCCTATCATCCCTCAAGGGTCCCCTCCCACCGTTCAAGAGGCCACTGTCATCGTTGAAGAGGTCCCTCCCAACATTCTAGAGCCCGATTCACACGGCGTAATATATCAAATTATTGAGAAGCCCCCTCACGTGTCGGACATGATGGATGACTGTTGGCTTTCGTATAAGTTACCGGCCAGTACCATTCCGGCAGATGAAGTGGAGAGGAAACAACTACCGGAAACAATTCTGGATAATCCCCTTTGGGCTAAGACCGCAGTTGATTTTTATCTACATGAGCGGAGCCAAGGGTGTTACGCTGACATATACAAACTCAACGATGATATGCATTTGTTGATTGAACGGTCTTGGTGGAGTGTATTATTAGGGGTTGAAGACAACGGCTATTTCGATTGGGGGGTAAGTCTTATATTTCTTCTTATATTTCAGTTTGATTAATTGTTTTTAAAATTTATGTAATTCACTAATATATGTCTTTTTTTTGTAAAACGGCATATTGATGCATGGGTGACACGTCATCTAATTGTAAGGAAATTGAAGAAAAATATAAAAAAACGCGATATACAATTATGCCGACGTCTTTTCACGTAGTTCACTTGAAGAATCAACGACATGAATCATATGTGTTGGCTAATGGACAAGATAAACTTTATCCTGCATGGTGGGAGGTCGATAAGGTTAGTATATTTGTTTAAATATTTTAAAGGTGTTCATAAATAAGTGCGCAATTTGAATTATTACATTTCGATGCAGGTGTTTATCCCTATTTTGGAACGTACTCATTGGCTTCTCGTCGAGCTTTAGCTCCCATCCCTAAAGACAATAGTATATGACAGCATGATAAATTACATATCATTGTCTGATTTGAGAGATATTATTAAGGGATTGAGCTCTCATTTGGCTAAATTCTTGGATGCAATTAATTATTGGACTAATTCTGGAAACAAGAAGCCAAAGAAGTTCAATGTTACAGTTATCAGAGACGAGACCGCGCCATAACAAACGAAGGAAGCCAGAGAGGATTGTGGTCCTCTCGTATGCATGTGCTTAGAGCGTTTGACGACAGGAAGTACACAGTTTCTACCTCCCACCGATAGAGATAGAGGTGCAGTAGGCTTGTGGTTTCGGCATTTTATGGCTAGAGCGATATATGCGAGACGCTTCCTACCTGCATCTGCGTTATGAAAGTGTCCATAAACAATTTGTAAGTCAAATGCAAGTGTTGTTAAACATATATACTATTTTTGGTTTGAAAATGTTTGGTTAAGTAGCTAGAATTCAATAATTTGCTGTTTGTAGGTTTTAGATGTGTAGAAAGTGTTGTTGATTCAATGTTTGGTTTCTGCAGGTTAATCCTGAAGTGAGCTGCATGAAATGGATGTATGGGTGCAAAAGTTGATTCAATAATTGATGAGGAAATAATTCTTATTATTATTTTTTGATTGCTTAATTGATTTGTAAAAGATGATTTGTAAATGTTGATTTGTTTAATTGATGTGTACATAATTATTATTTGTGCTTGTTTAATTGATTGAAATGTAATAGTTGATTTGTTGATTTCAATCTGCATTATGTTGAATGCAAAATAGACTATCACAACGCGGAAATGACTATCGCAACGAGAGAATCGCAATGCGAAATGAAAATCGCATTGCGATTCTCTCGTTGCGATAGTCATTTCCGCGTTGCGATAGTCAATTCCGCGTTGCGATAGTCATTTCCGTGTTGCGATAGTCATATTCGCGTTGCGATAGTCAAATGAATGTTTAATAAGTGATAACAACTGAACATATCATAGCAATGTTCAAACTCAAGTTACTAATACATGCCTAACTGAAAATATTAAAAGTTCACACATAATATACACATAATACAACGGTTGCATTTAAAAATCACCTAAGTTAACAGTCCCAAAAGGTAAAGCCGGTTGTGATTGGTATTTTGATGAGGATCCATATTTTGGTAGAGGAAAAGATGATTGTGATGGCACTGGTGATCCACATGTCAACCTTGTATGACCACTTTCCTTGCACCGACTACATGTCGATCTCTTCTTCTCTTCACCCTTAGACGGTATACGATCGTGACTTTTTGGTTGGCCAGGTAGCCTTCTGTCCATGGCTGGTGGCAAAACTGTTTGTAAGTCATCTGGTATGTCCCACTCAGAAGGATGTGGAATAGGGTAGACAATCTCGACATAAGTCTGTCGATATACTTCTGTAGTGTAGCAATCCATAACGTATGCGCTTGAATCATCTTGGTTTAGATGAAGAGCAACTTTTATAACATGGCAACACGGATAACCAGATGTTTTCCATTTCATACAACTACACGTCTTTGCATTTAGATTGATAAGCCCATTTAAGTTATTATCCAGTACTTCAAACAAAGTGTTTGAACATGGTTCAACTCTCTATGACGTTGACTTCACAACACGTTTCGGTATCTTTTTTTCAGTCCATGGTGTAACACGATGTTCCAATGTTCATGTAAATTTAAATAAATAATACTTAGTAAAATATATGATAAGTTACGAATTTAAAGAAATAATACATGCATGGTTTCTTTTCTTGTAGTACCACTGTTGAATAGAGGCTCGAAAAAACTCCATTAACATAGTAATGGGTAATTTCCGGGAATGACGACTTAGAGCGTTGATTGATTCTGCACTATTAGACGTCATGAAACCATATCTTGCTCCAAGTTGATGTA